TAACCTTTCATTTAATAATTTAGTAGTTTATACAGAAGTTTTATAAAGAGCACTTCCATTACAATTTACTTTTCTCTGTTGGTAGGACGGGTATCAGGCTAGTGGCATAAATTTGTATAACGGGCCTAATAAAAATCAATGGAATAGTCAGTTATTCTTGAATATTTATTAACCTATCAATATTGCCTTCACTGAAGTCTGAATTCTATTACAGTAACCGTGGAAAATATGACTGGAAATAGTGTTGTTAGGGCATTTAGGGGATGAGTGTATCTTGACAGTTGAAAGAACGAGATTAAAGCACTTTCTATACATTTTCGTCTTAATGAATTATTTTCTCTTTTAATTAGAGTTGTATTTCTTATGTCAAAATGGGGTTCAGTTTCATCAAGCTGAACAACCAATGCGTTCTGTGTTTTTTTTTGTTTGTTTGTTTGTTTTTAAAACGTCTCCTTTGTGTTCATATAGTTTTTTGCCTAAACTTCTTGAGGTTTCTGCAAAATATTCTTTCTGGCAATCTAACGATACCGATGTAGACGAAAAAATAAAAGAATAAAAATAACTACTGAAAAACAAAAAAATCCACAAGGCAAACAGGAAACTAATTAAAAATGAAAACATATGGTGGTATAGACTCATAGAATATCACCCTACAACATTCAAACTTTACAGACTCTCTAAGACCTACAAAGCTGGTGTCTCTATATACCCCAACATTTCAGGAATAGGCAGCGTCGCCCACAAACTCGATAGCGCCATAGTTAAAATTTTAACCCCTTTCCTTGAAATAATAATTCCATCATATTTAAAAAATATATATATATAAGGGAAACTTGCTGAAAAACTAAAGGAAACAAATATGGCTGACAAACTCATGGCCAGTCTAAATACAGGTTGTCCATAAGATTCGTGTGCATTTAAAAAAATTATAACTTTATTTGTATTTGCGATAGAAATAATCTGGAAAAAATGTTATAAAGTTTAATGTACCTAGTTTTAAGAATAGCTAAAATAAATAATGTGATTTCAGGCATTACTGTAAATCAGATGACAAATGTTTTCCATGCTCTGCAAAATCGTATTACCCTTTGTATTGCTAATGATGGAGGACATGTTGAAACTTAAATAAAATTTCAATAAAACCTTAAAAAATATAGATTGAGTTCTTTCTAATCCCTTTTACAAATTATTTCTATCGCAAATACAAATAAAGTTATAAATTTTCTAAAGTGCATACGTACTTTATGGACACCCTGTATAAAATTAATTTACACTAATGTCCCGGATAAAAAAAAAAAAGTTTAAATCTCTTTAAAAAGCATCTAACGCAATCAAAGATATAATAATAACTGAATAATAATGATCTACTGTCTCACCACTATTTTACATTTAATAACAATTTTTACAAACATAATTTTGAATTACCAATGGATTGCCTCTTAGTGGGGTGATGGCATGTAGCTTCTTAGAATTTGTCGAATATAGTTCTTTCCAAAATATTTTACCTAAGCAATCAACTTACTTTCGAAGAAACTTAAAGTATAAATTTACTCTATCAAATGCTCGGATTGCCAGAAAGAATATATTGGAGAAAACTCAAGAAATTTAAGCAAACACCCATTTTCTCCCATGTTGCTCAATACTGCTCTCATATATAAAAATATATATCGTTATAGCATATATATATATATATATATATATATATATATATATATATATATATATATATATGTACCAGGTTTATGCGAAAAGCTTTTTTGTATTTCAAGCTTTAATTAATAGTTCAATCATTTTACATACGAAAAGCTTTTATTCATTTAAATATCTCCCATTCTATTCAATTGTCTGTTGACATCGTTATGCCAGAAGCTCAACTCCACGCTTATTCGTGTTGGTTAATTTAGAGACCAAATACTTCGTGAACCCTTTTTCGACCTCATCCATATTTTTCAACCTCCGTCCACGCAGGAAATGAGAAGGAAGTAATCTGATTGTATAAAGCCTGCTGTGTCGGTAGGTCGATGCAACATTTCCAATACCTCATGTTTCTCAAGTTTTTGCATGGTTACTACGGCTCTGTCCGGGGGTCATTGTCATGCTGTAGCAGTACGAGTATTCGATTGACAAATGCTTGGTAGCGGCCTTTCAAATTATAATATACCTCATGAAGTTGTTGAGCATGAAGCTCAGCATTCAAGGCAGAAGCGTCTCGGCAATCTCAAAGCACAAAACCTCCTCGAAATTCCACCAAACATACAACAGGATCATCTGTTCAAACCTCACTTGTTTGGCAGTAGGTTCTGAAAGCTTGACTCACCAAAGCCTCTGATTTCTCTGGTTAGAATCATAAACATAGACGCAGTTTTCATCTCTAGTTTGAATTCGGCGCCAAAAGTGGAAATTTTCCAGGTTTATCAGAAGTTGTTTGCAAATGTTCACGTGCGGCTGAGCATGGTCATTGGTCAATTCATGAGGAACTTTTCAATAGCGTCAATTTGCAAGGCCTTATGTCTCGATTTACGTCAAAAAATTTGAACAAATCACCATACATAATATGTTGTGTAAGTGCATTTTGATTAGGGCGAGAGGTGTTGAGCAACCATTTCAAACACACAAACAAAAACGCACACACACAAACACACACATAAATCTCTCTCTCTCTCTCTCTATATATATATATATATATATATAAGTCAACACTCTGAGTCGAGAGACGGTTTTATGCTAGACGCAATCATCACGCCACATGAGTTGGAGTTTTTCTTGACTATTTTTATATATGGTTCAGTGGTGAATTGTGGGTAGTCTATTCTAAAGGTTTTGGATCTAACCAACGCCTTCATCCACTGTGCCATGTGTCCTTGCGTTGGCGTTGGTTAGATCCAAAAACCAACGCCAACTCAAGGACACATGGCACAGTGGATGAAGGCGTTGGTTAGATTCAGTGACAGGACCCAAAGAGTGTGAGTTCAATACCCGGTTAAGGCAATGGAGAACATTTTGAGGGAAATTAACAGGAGATAACTGATAACTGACATCCATTAAACATGACACGTAGAACTAGAACACTCTACCCCAGTGAGTGAAATAAAGGGTTAAGTTCGACATTCCAACCACTTGAAGAAGACCGGAGCGTACAACGGCCGAAACGTTGTAATAAATATGACGACAAAGATGAGGACAATAGTCCGAAAAATCTAAATAAGGTAAAGAAACCTTTCCTCTTTATCATCTATATAATAAATGTCAGGGCGTCACTGTGACACACTTTTCTTTTTTACTTCTAGGCTTTTAATTGAGTATATATATATATATATATATATATATATATATATATATATATATATATATATATATATTTGCTATACTTGTATTGAGCACTTTTTTCCGAATAGTAATTGTTGGTTATTGAATTTATTCCGTATACATATATCCTATATATATATATATATATATATATATATATATATATATATATATATATATATATATATATATATATATATATATATATACAGCAAAAAACAAAAATTACCTTAACATAGATATAGTCTATTTCAAGCCGTTCTGTATAAGGCTTTATCATCAGTCTCTAAGTGTCTGCCTCGGGACATTGTTTTAAATTTACTTTCAATGTCAGTCATACTCTCGTAGACACTTTCTTAACGAGAGTGGGTTTGTGTTAGCAATTGGTGCGAGCGTAAGGTCTCTTATCCCAGGATGGGGGAGGCTGTCTGGGGTTGGAGTTTATTCATGGCTAGAACGTGTTTGTGATTCAATATCAGTTATATATATATATATATATATATATATATATATATATATATATATTAGCTCTCGATAAATTTATTTAATCGGTCGAGTACTTTAGGAGTAACGAATTTGTAAATAGTCACTATCCCTGCTTATGATGCAAGACTCTCTTAGCAACTGAGTTCTCCGAGTGACTGATGTGCTTATGCAGAAATAAATACGCAAAAAATTGCCTTTCCCTCTGCCTAGGGGTTAGAATCTCTGACTGACACCAAATCGGTTGGGTTTCGGTCCCGGTCTGAAGCGGTGCATATCTAGCGATATTGATAAACTGTGATATAAAGCGGAACAGTCTGTCTGATGATGACTATATATATATATATATATATATATATATATATATATATATGCGTATGTGTGCGTGCGTGTTTGTTATTTGTGTATATGTGTGGAGGTTTTCTAAAGTATATCTTTCTATGAGACCTGTCTAATGTCACTTATTTACTGTAATTCGTACTAAATACAAGAATAAAAGAAATGATTTCTCCCGTTTATATCAGCTTTCAAAGATTTTCTTTGGCAAATAATAATTCCCAAAAGTCTGTTGATATTCTAGATAATTTCAAAAGATAAGAATTCAATATAAAAAAAAAATCTTACAAGGTCAGCTTAAAAGAAATATTAGAAACTCCCGCCCATTCTTTTCATTGATCCTTCGTATTTGAAACTTTATTCCTAATATTTCATGCCCTTTGAAAGGATATCAGGTTTAGAAAATCGTTTTTTTAATAAAAGGCAAACATTTTTTTTACCTTTGCATTTACGAAACTGATTAAAGAAATTGACTGAATAAGCTTTCAAGGTCTGCAGTTGGTGTGCAAAAAGAACCTGGATTTTTCTTTCCTTTAGATCTGATTTCTGTCAAAGGATTTAATGTATACAAATCAATGGATATATTGTTAATGAACGCGAGTTCCCCGTGGATTGGGTTAAATGCGTCTCAATAGATTTGAGGGGGCCTTCATTTGAATTGAAAATTAATTTTTTTTCTATAATAGTTTTGGCGTTAGTGTTATTTTCAGTGCAAACGAGATGGCAACGTTACTGTGAGAAATCCGTTTCAAAATACTAGAAAGATGGGTTGAGTCGATTAATTGTTTGCAAAATTCTTTTCTGAAAAAAAAGACGAAGGAAAAAAGATCAAGAAACAAGAGGGAAATGGAAGTAAAAAGAAAAGATAGATTTTCTTAAGAAAGAAATGATAAAGAGGACGAGGAAATAAAGAAATGTACTGATGAATAGAAGGAAGGAAGGAAGGAAGGAAGGAAGGAAGGAAGGAAGGAAGGAAGGAAGGAAAGGCAGGAGAAAAGTAAAAGGGTGTAAGGAAGGAAAGTGAAAGGGTGTAAGGAAGGAAAGAAGGAAGGGTGGAAGGAAGGGAGGAATGAAAGGTAGGTGGAAGGAAGGAAAGAAGGAAGGGCTGAAAGGCGGGAGAAAAGAAGGAAGGAAAGTGAAAGGGTGGAAGAAAGGGTGGAAGGAAGGAAAGAAGGAAGGGTGGAAGGAAGGGAAGAATGAAAGGTAGGTGGAAGAAAGGAAAGAAAGAAGGAAGGGTGGAAGGAAGGGAGGAATGAAAGGTAGGTGGAAGGAAGGAAAGAAGGAAGGGCTGAAAGGCGGGAGAAAAGAAGGAAGGAAAGTGAAAGGGTGGAAGAAAGGGTGGAAGGAAGGAAAGAAGGAAGGGTGGAAGGAAGGGAGGAATGAAAGGTAGGAGGAAGGAAGGAAAGAAATAAGAGAAGGAAGGAAGGATAAAGGGTTGGAAGGAAAGAAGGATGGGTTGTTATAAGGAAATAAAAGTGAATGCGTGGAAGAAAGGAAGGAAGGGTGGAAGAAAAGGTTGAAAAGAAGGAAGAAGGAAGGAAAGATTGAAAGGAAGGGTGGAAGGAAGGAAAGAATGGAGGAATAAAAGATAGGTTGAAGGAAGGAAGGGAGGAAGGAGGGAAGGAAGGAAGGAAGGAATTGTTTGTATATATGGAAGGAAATTGGATGCCTGCAAGAAAGAAAGGGTGGAAGGAAAAGTTAAAAAATAGGAAGGAAAGGTTGAAAGGAAGGAAGGAAGGAAAAAGAGAAGGAAGGAAAGGTGGATGGGTTGTTATAAGGAAATAAAAGGGGATGCATTGCAGAAAGGAAGGAAGGGTAGAAAACAAGGTTGAAAAGAACGAAGGAAAGAAAGAAGGAAAGATTGAAAGAAAGGAAAGAAATAAGGAATGAAAGGTAGGCTGAATAAAGAAAGGAAGGAAGGAAGGAAGGCAGGAAATGTGGCTGAGTGGTTATATGGTAGGAAAAGTAGATTCGTGGAAGAAAGGAAAGGTGGAAGAAAAGGTTGAAAAGAAGGAAGGAAAGATTGAAAGGAAGGATGGGTGGATGGAAGGAAAGAAAAGAGGAATGAAAGGTAAGCTGAAGGAAGGTAAAAAGGAAGGAATGAAGGAAAGAAGGAAGGAAGGAAGGAAGGAAGGAAGGAAGGGAGGAAAGGTGGGTGAGTGGTTATAAAAGTAGATTCGTGGAAGAAAGGAAGTGTGGAAGCTAAGGTTGAAAAGAAGAAAAGAAAGGATATATGGAAGGGTGGAAGAAAGGAAGGTGGGATTTAAGATATGAAGGAAAGGTGGGTAAATCTAAGAATGAAAAGTGGTGGGTGGAAGGGGGGAGTGGAAGGAAAGCTTAAACGGAAGGGTGGAGAGAAGGAATGGTGGATGGAAGGGACGAATGAAAGAAAGGTGGGTGAAAGAAAGGTATATAGAAAGGAAAGAAGGGAGGGTGGATAGAAGAGAGGACGAAAGGAAGGATAAAGGGAAAGAGGGATGAAGGAGCGGTGTGAAGAAAAAGTAAATAATGGAGAAGAGGAGAGGAATAAAAACGAAAAAAAAAGAAAAAATATGGGTAAAAGGAAATGAAGGAAAGAAGGATTGGCAAAAGAAAAGACAAATGGAGAAGAAAGGAAAAGGAAGAAAAAAAAAACAGAAGGAAAAGAAAACCAACGGAAAAGGGAAGAAGAATAAGAAATAAAGCGTAGGGAAAAAAGAAAGAAAGCAACAAAGAAGGAAAGAAAGGAAAAAGAAGGAAAGAAAGAAAAATAAAGAAAGAGAAAAAAAGAAAGAAAGAAAAAGAAAGAAAGAAAGATAAAATGAAGAAAAAATAAAGAAAGAATAAAAGAATGAAAGAAAGAAATAAAAAAGAAAGAAATAAAAAAGAAAGAAAGAAACAAAAGAGAAAAGAAGGAAAGAATAAAGAAAGAATAAAAGAAAGAAAATAGAAAGGAATAAAAAAGAAAGAAGGAAACAAAGTAGAAAAGAAGGAAAGAAAAAAGAAAAAGTAAAGAATAAAAGAAAGAAAATAAAATGGAATAAAAAAGAAAGAAAGAAAAAAGAAAAAAGAAAGAAAGAGAGAAGAAACAAAGAAAAAAGTAGAAAAGAAAGAAAGAAAAAACAATGAAGAAAAAAGAAAACAAACGGGAGAAAGACAAGGCAAAAAGGAGTAAAGAAAAAAAAGCTCATATATCGTTGAAATAAAGAAAATACAAAATAAAAGACAAAAAAAATGGCGAAAAAACGAGAAATCATTAAAGTAAGAAAGTGAAAACCTTTAAAACATTAAAATGTAATACAATGTTCAATACAGATTAGACGTAATGTTATATAATAAATAAAATAATCCTTATAAAAGTAACAATGAAATAATATTTTATATTACGTAAAATTATGCAGGCTAATATTTTATGGTGTTGATATAATATCTAAAAATATACCAGAAATAGAGAAATAATATATAACAAAAGTAGATAGTATTATATTAAAATAATATGCTATATAAAATTATATAAGATGATAAATATATTAAGTAATACTTAGAATTATGCAATGTAGTATAATAATACATACTTAATGTTACATAATATATAATATTCTATAATTATCTATTTATAATATTGCATAATATATAATTATGTACTCTAATATATTAAGAGTGTTATATGACAAAACCATAAACTATATCTTAATTGCTTTTAATCATTTCACCCCAAACAATGAGCTACTGCCACAATGATGCAATGAGTTTCTCTGAATGGAAGAGAATGAGAAGACATTCCGGAAGGCAAAGAACAATAAAAGAAAAGGTTTCAAAAAGGCAAACCATTGCGATTTAAATTTGGGAATATTGCACTAAAAACAAAACAAAAAAAAACAAAAAAAAATGAGAGTTCCACAGGTGAGAAGTACGAGAAAAGAAACTATTAGAATAGAACGTGCGGTTGCATTTAGCTATTTCAGCAGTAAAACGATGAAACCTAATTGCTAATCTATTTAATCGCTTAAATTTATACGTTTGTGGTACCAAGGAGATGTCATTAAAACAATATAAATTAATATATAAAAGAATTATATAATGTAATATATAATATTATATATCATCATATATTTGGGCACCCCCAGGTGGTGTAAAGGTTAGCAAGTTTGTCTCGCTAGAACAATTACAACTGTGTAGTGAGTTCGATCCTCACTAGGTGCCCCATACTTTCGGCCTTGTGCAACATCTAAGCTACGCTTGGAAAATAACTATATCATCATATATTATCAATAATATATAGAATTATATAATAAAACAGAATAGAAAAATGATTAGTAGATTCTGTTATGCAATATAGCCTCTTCGCTGTGACTATTCAAGACGTGGGCACATGAAATAAATTCTTCTTGATCTCAGACTTGAATTAGAATCCTTAAGGATCCTTCACGGAATTTCTTGTTTCATATTCCGCTGAGAGCTGCCGCTCATTTTTGCAGTTTTTCAGAGTCGTTTTAACTTTCCCAAATTAAATAAAAATCATCAAATTATACTAACGACTCATTTTAAAATGTCTAATTTTCAGAATGTCTATTAATTTAAAACATTGATATTCAGGACATTTCAAGCAAATTGATGCCGTTTGTTAAGAGCAGCGTATAACAACACTGATTTTCTCTTCATTGTGCAAGTACTGCCGTCATTCTACAGAAACGATTTAATTCCAATGAGAAGAAATAGCTAACAATATCAGATTCTGTTTGTACTTTCAAATGTATTTATTGAAATCAGCGCACATGGACGACACTTTATTAAATTTTCCGTAATTAGTTGTCGCCCTTCCAGAGCAAATTTATCAAGAAACTGGCCAAGATTCATAAATTCTTTCTTCGTGTGCTCTACAATATCACTACCCATTAATTAATGTTTTCAATTTCATGGTAGAAAATATATTTATAATACTATTTTGGTATTTTTAGTAAAATTATAATTGTAATTTCAAAGACTGCGTATGAAAGATAAGTGACATAGAGTATAAAATGGTTTGTAACTATATGTAAGCGATATATATTTTCACTTTCTTTATATTTAGTCAGTTAGGGCCCAAAAGAACATAATGGTGCGTTAGAATTAAAATATTAATTCTTTTTGAAGTTTTAAACGCATTGTTAAATGTTTTCACTTATTCTCTTGTAAGTCGTTGCGTAATAAACATTAACAAAATGAAAATTTCTTGGCAGATATAAATTAATATATTGTAGTAAATACTGTAATAATGGTGTATCATTAATTACAAACAAAATTAAAAATGTTTAATATGATTGGTTATATATATATATATATATATATATATATATATATTCATACACGTTTCATAAAATAATATAGACAAGTGTTGTCTATTTATTTTATGTAATTTTTTTTCGTAACATCTGATAAGTTTAATAACATTATCGTTGAACGAAGAAAGAAATTCACAATATTGATCCATATTTTTTTAATGTCAATTACAACATATTAAGCAATATACAGACAAGACAGTGATGATAGTCTGTCATTGTTTACATAGATGATTTCTAAGCAACGACAAACACACGCATATAAGACGCTAGAAGCGAAAATCGCACCGCATCTCATGACGTCACACATGACCACTCAGTGAATTGGAGAAGTATGAAGTATGGAAAGCCGTTGGTATAAACGTTGGTATATATATATATATATATATATATATATATTTTTATATATATATACACATACATAGATATATGATATATATTTTTGTATATATATATATATATATATATGGTAGATATTTTGTATACATATATATATATTTATAAAATATATTTTTTATTTTAGGATATTAAAACGAAAACATGTTAAGAAATCGACACACAACACTAGTAATTGGTCTGCTCGGACGATGTTAAACTACTGGCGTTTGAACGATTAATTTAATTTCAAAAACAAAATACTTCCTTTTTTTCCGAGACAGAAATCTGAATTAAAAATTGGCTCATGAATTTACTCTGATTAACCAATCGAATGTGACCCACGATAAATTCAAACTCACCGAAAAAAAAAAAATGTCCAATATAGGTCATGACACGAAGTTGTCTGCATATAAATCCTAGACAATTTCATTATGGACAGATACAAATGGTTACATTATTTCGTAAGATGTAAATAAGCCTGGCGTTCAACTTTCATAAGAAGTAAAAGCGAAAGAGATAGGGATGTAATTTAACAAAAGGCTAACTAATTATATGCTCTGTCAGCATTTTGTAGTTGATAACTGTATTGAGCCCCCTTTTAAATAAAATATTACGGACAGAGGAATTATTCTCCATTTGTTTTCATTTTACCTACATATCTATCTATCTATCTATCTATCTATCTATCTATCTATATATATATATATATATATATATATATATATATATATATATATATCAAGTATGAGGTGCAGTTTAATTTACATTACATGAATCATTCATACAAAAAAACAGATATAGAAGTTAATGATATAAATGGCGAGAATACATCTTCGCAAACAAATTTAATAAAAGTACATTAACCCCGAATCTGTAGATGAATGTTATGATCCCTTATGCAACTGGAATTTATAAAAAGGTATATGCAATGCATAAAAACTTTCAATATCAGACATATGTAAATCTAACACTGAACACTCAATAGCGACAGTCTGTTTCATGCTTCAAAATGTAGGCCACCGTCAATTTGAAGCTTGCGTTTAAGCACGAAACAGACTGTCATCGGATGGAGCGAACAGAATCTAGTGTAATACACATACAACACCTGGTTCTTGACAATGAGTGGGATGTTCTAAATTAAAAACAAAAGAAAAATCTTGAACTTCGGGCACTTTCTCTATAAATTCGTCCTGATATACAGATCTTATACGAAAATTGGCAAAAAACTATATAATTTCGTTACTGTTATACAAATCATGTAAGAAATTTGCAAAAACCTCTATAATTTCGACCTGATATAAAGATCTTATGAGAAAATTGTCTAACATCTCTATAATTTTGAACTCGATAAACAGATCCTATCAGAAAATTGGCTAAAATCTCTATAATTTCGATCTTGATAAACAGATCCTATAAGAAAATTGGTTAAAATCACTACAATTTCGATTTTGATATGCAAATCCTATAAGAAAATTGGCAAAAATCTCTATAATTTCGATCTTCATATGCAAATCCTACAATTGGCAAAAATCTCTATAATTTCGGTCTTGATAAACAAATCTTATAAGAAAGTTGGCAAATTACAATAAAAATATTAAACATCACTTTGTCGGTTGTAATTAATTTTTGTATGATTTTGAATATTATGGTTTAATGTATATCAGCTCGGAATGAGAAATCGGAGAGCCGAGTTCGAATTCAAGTTGTGTCTCTTAAAATCACTTACCTGGAAATACCTTCGTGAAATATATTATTGCATAGCCCCCTCGTTCTGGGGGAGTCTCGGTTGACGGGGGTCGGTTCCATAATGTTATATTTACTCACGCTCGTCTTCTCCTGGCCGCGTATCGAAATGTTTTTGGAGTCCGGCGATGAAAATATATCAACAAAATCATTCTCATGTTCGGTTCAGCTAATCAAAATCGACTTCCCTATTTTGTCTACCATCTGACCTTAATGGTCAGCCTCAAAAGGTCTGAACCAAATACACTGCCACTAAAAAAATAACATTCCTTACCTAACCATAAATAAAATTCATTTATGAATTATATTTCAACTACATTATATTTAACATTCGTTACTCAAGCAGCAAAATGATTCATTTATGAATTTTATTTCTACTATTTATCCTAAATTACACTTTACAATTTCGTTTATGCAAGGCGTGCTCCTTATAATCTTTTTTCATTGGGCTTCGGTAGCATGAACCATCTGGCATACATATATACAATTCCTGAAAGAGAATTAACATTGACAACAATATTCTGATTAGTATTTCACGCTTCACAAACATTTTTAAAAACAAAACCAGAATACCGGACAATCCTGTCTATTCTTGGTCATTTGTTTCCGTGACCCAAGGCCAACGGCTCAGAAGCCAGTTCTCTTACGCCCTTCCTTGTTGGAAAGAAGCTGGTCAATGCACAGCAAATAGGTATATTGTGTATGCTTCATTGGGAAGGTGGAGGTGTTGGTTGTTTGTCTCATCTTGTCTCAGCTAGCTGGTTAGCGAAATGGTTTATAGAGTCTGGAGATGAAAGAGCGTCAACAAAGGGAATATTTAACTTTACTATTATTTTATTAACCACGGCGATGTGTGCATCTCAAATGGAGGCTACTAAACCCCATATTAGGGAGACGCTTTCAAACACGAAATTGCGCACGTTCATTTCGTTTGGCGTGTAACAACCAACTCTCGAAAGACCTTTCCCCACTGGGAGGGGTGCACAAACCCAGTCTAACACGTCTACTTAGCCTGACGTCAGAACAGCAACTCCGGTAACACCTTAATCTATAACCCATTCCCGTATTTGGCTCAGCGAAGCGAAATCGACTTCCCTGTTTTGTCTACCATCTGACCTTAAAGGTCAGCCTCAGCAGGTATGAGCCAAAATACACTGCCGCTAAAAAATAACAGACTGAAACTAGTATATAACATTCCTTGACCAACCACAAAAAATCATTTATAAATTATATTTCGACTACATTATATGTAACAGTTGGAATCCAGCCCTTGTCCTTCCAACTATGTGTTGAATAACTGCATAGACTGGGTCCTTTAGCCTTTGTTGGCAACCAGTCTACAGTAGAAAAAACCGACAACCTACTGCGGGAAAATCTTCTGTCTAGTCAGAAAGAAAGAAAAAGTGAGAATAGAAGAGAGAAAAAGGGGGAATAGTAGAAAGAAAAGTGAAAAAGAAGGAAGAAAGGAAAAGGGGGAATAGTAGAAAGAAAAAGGTGAAATAAAAGAAAGAAAAGTGAAAAAGAAGAAAGAAAGAAAGAAAGAAAAAGTGAAAATAGTAGAAAGAAAGAAAAAGGAAGAATAGAAGAAAGGAAGGAATAAAGAAAGTAAAAATGGGAAAATAGATGAAATTTAACGGAATACGAGAAAGAAAAGAGAGAAGAGGAGAACGCATTAGAGAAAAAAGAAGTAAGAAAGGAAAAGTGAGAAAAAAAGAAAGAAAAGCCGAGAATAGAAGAAAGAAAATAACAAGTGATAATATAAGAAAGGAAGAGAGAGAATAGCTGGGTTTCTTTTTTCAGTGAAAAAAAGAAACAAATTAATACTCCATTGAAGGGACTTGATCTGAAGTCATTTTAGAATTCATCAGCGAAATGCACTTACTGGCAGTTGGCGCTGAACTAGTTTTAGACGTTTCTCTTTTCCTCTTTTTCCCAACGAAAAAAGGAAAAAAAAAGAAACCAAAAATGAAAGGGATTGAAAGATCTCTGAAGATTATATCATGTCATATCGAAGGTGTTAACAACAAAATATTTCCCGTAGGAATGACGCACTTAGAAACTGATCGATGGCTCACTTGATCGATTGCCTGTTGGATTGATTCATTGATTGACTGACTGATTACTCATACATTGTGGCAAATTAAAATCGATTCCCTAGACAAAAGTAAAACTCAAGCCAATAAAGTTCAAGTTCGTTACTGCAAGAATATATATATATATATATATATATATATATATATATAGAGAGAGAGAGAGAGAGAGAGAGAGAGAGAAGCAGAGAAGGATGAACAGAGAAAGAGAGACAAAGAAAACAACCAGGATCCACCATAAGGCTGATTGGTGGGAATGCATTTTTTTTTTTTTTTTTTTGGAAGATCATTGACATTAGTCTAACAAAATTAATGCTTGTCCTTCTTCCAAACCTTTAATATTACACACTGAACCTTTCTCCCTCAGTGGTTGAGCTTATTCGTTTTACGTGCTTATATATATATATATATATATATATATATATATATATATATATATTGGCATATATATATATATTGGCAATTAACTTTATATTTTGGAGCGTGCGATGACGTGACGCTCGAGTTTTTGTTCAAATCGATCAAGTGAGAATCAAGTGTATGAATTTTGAAATGTTATGAATTCACGAATTTTTTTGTTATATATATTTATCTGTTAAAGTGAACTGGACTGAAGTATAATTCAAATATTACAGTAAAAATGTCTTAGTAGATTTCTACAGAAGTTAAAAGATATATTTATATAAAAATATCTTAGAATTTTTATAAAATATAAGCTACACACTGTAACACACGCACATACACACACACACAGACATATATATATATATATATATATATAGAGAGAGAGAGAGAGAGAGAGACATATATATGTATTTACACAGACATATATATATATATATATTAAGCCAAATAAATAAATAAACAAACAAGGCACTCCCGCAAAAATAACCGCCAGAATAGATTACCCACAATGCACCACTGACTCATATATATATAAATAGTCGAGGGAAAACCCACCATTCGCGACCTGACCATTGCGTCCAGCATGAAACAGCCTGTCGCCTCTGAATATTGACTTCAATGTTCACTTTTATATTTACATACGCTCTTTCTCTGATATCGAGCTCTTTATCCCATAAATATACATTAAAAAATATATTTATTATATATATATATATATATATATATATATATATATATATATATATATATATATATATATATATATATAAAAAGAAATATATGTATATATGAATAAAAATATGTACGAATAAACAAATATATAATGTATATTTTGGCAGCAACCTTTCATTCAAACTCAAGGCAGAGAGATTTTTTTATTAAGTTTTTCAGCATCCTAATATTTTCCCATGTTTTAGAAGTTAAGGAATATAAAAAAAAATTATAATTTTTATTGTCCGAAGCGGTTTCGGTTAATTCTATAGACATTTTCTAATGTTTTGGCTATAGAAGTGGCCGAATGCGCTTGAGACAATAAACATTATGGATTTTATTTATTTCCATACTTGACCGATTTGGCATCAGTCGGAGAATCTACCCCAGATCAATCGGAGCACGTCAGTGCAAAGGAATCGTTTTAACGTATTATATACATGATGTATATGAACGTCAATAAACAATGACTACTACTGCTTATAATGCGAATATCTTCTCTGAATTGAGTCCTCTCTATCATCGTGTTTATTCGAAGAATAAAAATCCTACTTTCACTCTATCCGGCCGCTGATAGCTCCGTGTTAAAATCTCCGACTGATGCCAAACCAGTCAGGTTTCGATCCCGGTTTGAGGCAATGGGATGTCTAGTCACAATGATGAGCTGTGATACAGCGAAACTGTCTGTGGATGACTATATATATATATATATATATATATATATATATATATAACTATACATTGTTTTTGAAAAACCCTCGAATCTTTGATTTGCCAATAATCAAATCAATCTCGAGGGAAAAAATGTTTTAAAAAAAGAAAGAGCTATAAACATGTAAGTCTGTTGAAAAAAATCGCACAGATGCAGGTTTGAAGCCCAAAGAAATACGAGTAAACAACTCACTAACAAAAGAGATCAATACAACCGTAGAGCAGACCTAGATAAACCTAGTGAGCCAGACAAACTTACCGAGGTTTCACCTAAATGGATCCTCAGGGAAAGCCGACTTGCCCTGACGATCCGTTTAGGTGAAACCTACGTAGGTTTGTCTGGCTCACTAGGTTTATCTATCTATCTATCTATCTATCTATCCATCTATCTATCTATATATATAGATATATATAATGGACTCTCCCGTCGGTTTCGACGTATGAGAATCTGACAACTTAATTGATTCTGCGCGATAATCTTAAGTCAAGAATGAACGAATGAAGGTAAACTGCCAAAAAACCCACACAAGTCATTTGATTAAAATGGTGAAGGCTTGTGCAGAACCATCCACACATTTCGGAACAATTGATACACTCAGTATCAGACAATAGACGCCAGGATATATATATATATATATATATATATATATATATATATATATATATATATATATATATATAAAACATATATATATATATATAAATAAATAACTTTTTCGTTTGAAAAACCCTCGAATCTTTGATTTGTTAATCAAATCAATCTCGAGGGAAAAAAAGTTTTAAAAAAGAAAGAGCTACAAACATGGACTTCTGCCGACAAAAAAAAATCCACAGATGCAGGTCTGAAGCCCAAAGAAAAACCCTGATACGAGTAACAACTAACTAACAAAAGAGCTCAATACAACCGTAGAGCAGACCTAGATACACCTAGTGAGCCAGACAAACCTACCTAGGTTTCACCTAAACGGATCGTCAGGGAATGTTTGGCTCTAAAAGTTTATATATATATATATATATATATATATATATATATATATATATATATATATATATATATATATATATATATATATATATATATATATATATATATATATCCTGAGGTCTATTATGTATAGCATATTCTATACCTATGCATATACAGGTGTCAATATAGTTCAAAAAGCTTAAAAAAAATATAACTTTATTTGTATTTGCGATAGAAATAATTTGTAAAAAATTTTATAAAGTTTAATATACCTTGTTTTAAGTATAGCTAAAATAACTAATGTGATTTCAGGTATTACTGTAAATCAGTTGGCAGTTGGCAAATGTTTTCCGTGAACTGCAAAATCGTATTAAACTTTGTATTGCTAATGAGGACATGTGGAAACTTAAATAAAATTTCAATAAAAGCTTAGAAAATATAGATTTACTTCTTTCTAATCCTTTTACAAATTATTTCTATCTCAAATACAAATAAAGTTATAAATTTTTAAATTGCACACGAACTTTTATGGACACCATATATATATATATATATATATATATATATATATATATATATATATATATATATATATATAATGAGCTAGTTGTATTTCTTCCGGTTGGTTCTGAATTCACAGCTGTCCTCCTAGACTGTCTGCATTAGCAATCATAAACAAACAACATCTTCTATATTTTAGTGATTTGAATTAAGACTTTCTCTTTTCCTACAGTGGTTGCCTACGAATAAAAGAGAGCTGCTTTTTAGCCATTTCCCGGAACAATATAGAATCATGCATTTTCAAATGGCATTCAGTTTTAGGGGTACTGACATGGAGTCCAGTATGTTTGATAGCATTT